TGTTCCATGTTTTTGCCATTTGTGAATAATGGCTCTCACTGTGATTCGCTGGAGTCCCAAAGCTTTAGAAATGGCTTTATAACCTTTTCCAGACTGATAGATCTCAATTACTTTTTCTCATTTGTTTCTGAATTTCTTTGGATCTCGGCATGATGTCTAGCTTTTGAGGATCTTTTGGTCTACTTCACTTTGTCAGGCAGGTCCTATTTAAGAGATTTCTTGATTGCGAACAGGTGTGGCAGTAATCAGGCCTGGATGTGGCTAGAGAAATTGAACTCAGGGGTGATAAACCACAGTTTTAACAGGGGGGCAAACACTTCTTCACACAGGGCCATGTAGTTTTGGATTTAGTTTTCCCTTAATTTAAAATCTGCATGTTGTGTTTACTTGTGTTATCTTTTACTAATATTTAAATTAGTTTGATGATCTGAAACATTAAAGTGTGACAAACATGCAAAAAATAAGCAATCAGGAAGGGGGCCAACAATTTTTCACACCACTGTATCTGTGTCGAAGGCACGGACACGATGGTTCATACTGGCCATCCCAGATAACAAGAAGTTTTGGGACAAATGTATACGATTTCTGTCACATCTGGCCTAGATATGGCATGGCTGAACACATGTGGGCCAAATATTCACTATACATATTTTGCCATTGCTTTAGAATTGGAGGGAATTTTCTTTTGGATCACATATGTGATTAGGTATATGGTCCAGATGAGAGCACACAACTGAGAACCATACTGGATGTAGTTTAGCTATGGCACACCAGAAAGGCTACTTGTCTGGCCGAAAAACATTGGTAACAAATAAACAGTGTTTAAGGGAGTGTGTGTAACGGGGCCGACGAGACGTGAGACGTGTGGATCCATCTGCAAGCTTTTAATAGAGAGACGTGGTAAACAGGCAGGGTCAAACAATGGCAAACAGGCGGGCAAAACACAAGAATAGTCCTAGGGCTAGCGTAGGTCACCGATCGGCAGACAGAATCACAGGGGCAAGACGAGGGAAAAAAAGGAAAACAGGCAAAGATTAAAAAATCCCGCAAAAACAGGCAAGGCAAAAAAAGGAAAACACGGAGACTCGGAAAGGGGTACAGGCTAAACACTAATCAGCAGAGAAAGGTGGTTGGAGTGGGTGTTATATAGTGAATGAGGTAATTAGAAAGACTCTGGACGAACAGTTGAGACGTGACGAGACTCTGGACGAACAGCTGAGACAAGGCGAGACTCTGGACGAACAGCTGAGACAAGGCGAGACTCTAGAAGATCAGCTGTGACGTAACGAGGCTCTGGCAGCTCAGCTGAGACTTGACTGGACTCATGAAGATCAGCTGTGACCTGACTTGACTCATGAAGATCAACTGTGACCTGATTTGACTCATGAAGATCAGCTGTGAACTGACTAGACTCAGGATAATAAACTGTGACTCGATTTGACTCGGGAGGATTAGCTGTGACTTGACCAGACTCAGGATAATAAACTGTGACTCGATTTGACTCGGGAGGATTAGCTGTGACTTGACCAGACTCAGGATAATAAACTGTGACTCGATTTGACTCGGGAGGATTAGCTGTGACTTGACCAGACTCAGGATAATAAACTGTGACTCGATTTGACTCGGGAGGATTAGCTGTGACTTGACCAGACTCAGGATAATAAACTGTGTCGATTTGACTCATGACGATCAACTGTGACTAGACTTGACTCATGATACTGAATTGTGACTTGACTCATGACGATCAACTGTGACGACTAGACTCATGACTATCAGCTGTAACTTGACTAGACTCATGACTATTAGCTGTAATTTGACTAGAATCATGATAATAAACTGTTACTTGATGTTATATAGTGAATGAGGTCATTAGAAACAGCTGTGTGCAATGAGTGCAATCAGGGCAGTGTGCAAATTGTGCAAAGAATGATGGGAAATGTAGTCCGGGGTGCTATGCAACAGTTTGTGTAGTGCGAGAGTCAATGTAATGGAAAGTGTGACATCTGGTGGTGAATAAACGGAAGTCCATGAACCGAATTCGTGACAGTGTGCAGTTATATTTCTTCTTCATTTAAACGTTTGGTTTTAAAACATGAAACCTGCTATAATCATGTGTTAGGTTTGTGGCAGTACACATCTCAGCCTATTCTATAATGTTTATTGGTTGCTTTCTTTGCTTTAGCATATCCCTTGAATTCATATTGGTGGGTTAATAAAAATATGATTGGTAACTATTTGTTTATTTTTGTTTAATGTAATTTATATCATACATCCACCTAGTGGACAATCATCCTTGTTCCTCACAAGTTCAATATCGTTTATGATGCTAAAAAAAAGACTAATCAAACCTAAAAACAAATTACCTGAGTTATTACAGCCATATTGTCTCTTTTTTATGTAGCACTCCCTATAGAAGATACATAGGATATTTACATGTTTCCCATATCAACTCCTGCTTCTGGAGACACCACATACCATGCAGCTAATCTTTTAATAAATATTTCACATTCTGGTATGCTTGAACTGAATAGGGTGGCAGCAATATATGAAATTTCTCCACATGGAGTTTGCACTTCTGGTTTGTTGTAGTCACATGCATATAAATGGATGTGTGTTTGACTTTTATGTGGCACTGCACAGATGGATCAGTGTCTGACTTCTGTGGAAAAGAAACTCTGCTTTCTGTGCTTTCAGTACAGAAAGCAGAAAGTATTCGACTTCACAACAGAGTTGGGTTCCATCTGTAATCAAACAAACTTGCCTTGAATTTCTTACTATATGCTCCCCAATTTGGAAACTAAAGCTTCTTTGTGAATTATGCAGTGCATTGTGTGAATGCTGGTGTGAATCTGTTTGATTTGAGATTAGCCTAAATATTCATTGTCATCCATCACTGTCATCACCTGTATCACCTGTATGTGCATTAACAGTATCTCTGCACGGTTTACTGCAGTGAGCCAGAGTGATTCATTCTCATTATTTACTAAGTAATGAGGCATTTGAGGTAATGAGTAATTTATGGAACCTCATTTTATGAATAAACAAACATGGAGAGACTAAAATAATTTTCAGTAAATTCCATTTATAAAGCTTGTTCTGGCTAATCTGGAATAGTTTCTATATAAAAATAGTCTGGGCCTACAGAGCTGTTTACAGGGCTTGAAGTACTCCGGCGTGCAGCATTTGGCAGCGGAAAAAAATAATCCTACTTTAAAAAAAAAAAACTTGTTGACATCACTTTCGAGTCCATGAGTTTGCCTACCAATGGTATGCGAGGAGCACAGGCACAGCTTTCACTCTCAACCAAACTAGCATTACTAGCCAATCAGAATTTTTTGCTCTTATAAACACGAGACGTGCATAATAGTATCCAATTGCAGAGCCCTGCCCTGATGAATGGAGATGTGCGACACGTTGAAAAAGCTGCAAGGCGCAATGTTCAAAGATGTCCATCTAGCGCATTTATATAGAAAAACTAATTAAAAAGCAGCGGAGCTTTGTAAACGGCTCAGAGTAATCATGTCATCTCTATAAGAACGATATGATTGCCAGAACAAATTTGCCGGGATTTTTTAAAAGGTCCTCTTCACACATGATCTCTTGATGGTAACTTAACCGGTAATTTACCAGTGAAGACTGTATGTGTGAAAGGGGCTAAACTCTTCCTCTGCATATGCTGTGAATTTGAATTGCTTAACGTTCATCTGGGAAAACAGTGTGCATTTTCTCACTAGATTTGCAACGTAAATCATTTATAAACCTTTGCCAACACAGGAGAATACATCATATTTCTAAATATGCCATTTATTGTACACCGCGACTTCAAAATAAAAGTTTCTGAGTTAGCATGTGGCCAAATATTAAAATGTAATGGATTGAAACATCATTAATTAAATCACGCTGTAAAGTGAAATGTCACCAGGCCGTTGGCACCCTCTGCAGGTATTTGTTATAATACATAATGTACTTAAAGGGATAGTTCACCCAAAAATGAAAATTCTGTCATCAGTCAAACAAATGGTGGTTGCCATTGACTTCCATAGTAGGAAAAAAAATATATGGAAGTCAATGGCATCCACCAACTGTTTGATTACCAGCAATCTTCAAAATATCTTTGTTTGTGTTCAACATAAGAAAGCAACTCATACAGGTTTGGAACGACATGAGGGTGAGTAAATTATGACAATTTTCATTTTTGGGTGAACTATCCCTTTAAGTTGGTTATGTTCATATTATGTATAGGCATATATTACATTATGTATTTTATCAGTGTTCAATAAAACCATGTAATTACTTGGTTTTGATACTTTATTTGAGCCAATTATTATTGCCTCATCGTTAGTTTATATATAAATAGTCATACTAAAGCCTGGTTTTCACTTAGGTCTGTTTGTGTTACTAAATTATATCAGATTAATTGTCGAAATAATCAGTTGATTACTCGATTACCAAAATAATCATTAGTTACAGCCCCAGATTAGTTATAAAATGTCTAAATACAACTACATTGTTTTACTTTTTGTAATTAAAAGACAAATATTTTGTTATTGAAATAAATAAAAAAATAGTATTAAAATATTATCTCGTTCTAGTGAACCAAGTATCTGTATTTTGTCTCGTTCTAGTGAACCAAATATCTGTATTTTGTCTCATCTCGTGAGCAAAGTGTATTGTCACACCCCCCAGTGTCGATAAGCAGTGAAGCAGGAATTTTTCAACCATATATTCATGAAAAAAAAATCAGTTTGAATGAGGATAGCAATAACTTTAACATTTGAAAGGATAATATGGCAAAGTTGCCACAGTCATTGCATGCTTTGCATGTGCTGCCCCATTACCCCCCACCCCCGGAAAAAGCTCAAGATTTTTTTTTTTTGCTTTAACCCGTTTATTGTGTCTTGACTTGTTTTAAGAATGACATGCATAACTTTACTCAAAGAACTTGTTGCTCATGCTCTCATTCATTTTTGTCTTATTCTTCTTGTCTCTGCTGTGTGGATAGAGATGATCAGACTGGAGACCTGCAGAAGGAATCTCACCAATCAGTAGATGATGAACTACAGAGAGTCAAAAACCAACACAAAACTAGCATGAAGAACAAGTATGAGAGATTATGTGAGGGAGTCAAACTACAAGAGAGTCAAACCTTCCTGAACACGATCTACACACAGCTATACATTATAGAGGGAGAGAGTGAAGGAGTGAATGAAGAACATGAGATTTTACAGATGGACAAAAAAGCCAGAACACAATGTTCACAAGACACTCCAATCTACTGCAATGACATCTTTAAAGCCTCACCTGAACCAGGATGTAAGGAGAAAGACCCAATCAAGACTGTTCTTACTAAAGGCATCGCTGGAATTGGAAAAACCGTCTCTGTGCAGAAGTTCATTCTGGACTGGGCCGAGGGAAAAGCCAATCAGGATGTAGATTTCATGTTTGTGCTTCCATTTCGAGAGCTGAACTTGATCAGAGATCATCAGTACAGTCTTCATAGACTTCTGCTGAACTTTCATCCTGAACTTCAAGATCTGGACTCAAAGATTTACAAGGAGTGTAAAGTTGTGTTTATCTTTGATGGTCTGGATGAAAGCAGAATTACACTGATGTTTTCAGATGCTCAGAAAGTTTCTGGTGTTACTAAGATTTCGTCAGTGGGTGTACTGATGTCAAACCTGATGAAAGGAAAGCTGCTTCCCTCTGCTCTCATCTGGATCACCACCAGACCAGCAGCAGCCAATCAGATCCCCTCCAAATACATCAACCGTCTGACAGAAATTCAGGGATTCAATGAGCCTCAGAAGGAGGAATATTTCAGGAAGAGAATCAGTGACCAGCATCAAGCCAGCAGAATCATCTCACACATCAGAAGAGCAAGAAGCCTCCACATCATGTGTCACATACCCGTCTTCTGCTGGATCTCATCCACTGTGCTTCAAAAGCTCCTAAAAGAAGATCTGAGTGCAGAAATCCCTCAAACTCTAACTGAAATGTACATCCATTTTCTACTCACTCAGATAAACATGAGGAATCAGAAATATGAGAAGAGACATCCAGGAAAACCCCTGCAGTCCAACAGAGAAGTGATTGTGAAACTTGCTGAACTGGCTTTCAAACAGCTGATGAAGGGCAATGTGATGTTCTATGAGGAGGACCTGAGAGAGAGTGGCATAGATGTCACTGATGCCTCAGTGTATTCTGGGATTTGCACTGAGATCTTTAAAGAGGAATCTGTGTTCCATCAGAGGAAAGTCTACTGTTTCATACATCTGAGCTTTCAGGAGTTTCTTGCCGCTTTCTATGTTTTTTACTCCCATCTGTTAAAGAACATGGAGCCACTGAAGTTGTTTCTGAATGATAAACATGAGACATACACATCTGAAAAAAGCCCTTTGTGTAAGCTGCTAGTATCAGCAGTTAAAAAAACTCTTCAGAGTAAAAATGGACACCTAGATCTTTTTCTGCGGTTCCTGTTGGGGGTCTCACTGGAGTCCAATCAGAGAGTCTTACAGGCTCTTTTGACATGCACAGAGAATAGCTCAGAAACAATCAGAAAAATAAAAAAACACATTAAACACATAATCAAGGGAAATAAACGTCTCTCAGCTGAAAAATCTATCAATATGTTCCTCTGTCTGCTGGAAGTTAAAGATCAGAATCTTTACAGAGAGATTCAGCATTTTGTGAAATCAGACAAACACTCGGAGAAGAAACTCACTCCTAATCACTGTTCAGCAATCGCATACATGCTTCAGATGTCAGAGGAGGTGCTGGATGAGTTTGATCTCATGAAATATAATACATCATCTGAGGGAAGGCGGAGACTGTTACCAGCTGTGAGAAACTGCAGAAAAGCTCTGTGAGTATTCATTCATGTCATCACATTCATTTATGTCATCACAGAAGAAACAGGTTTGTTTGAACTAATTCATCTATCAAATCATGACCGTGTTTATTCATAGAACAAAATGTGAATAAAATCATCTATTCCTCCCATGGGCATTGAAGCAGAAATTATATAACAGTTGAAAGCACACTGAACAGTAGACAGTAGAAGCACAGTTGTGTGGAAAGGATGTTTTCAACCATCTCACATTCAGAATTAAAGATTCAAAGTTCAAACTGTTAATACCCCAAACAGAGTATTACTGCTAAAAAAAAGAAATATAAAGACTAGACTAGCAAAATAGGTAACAGTAGTGAAATAAAAGCTAAATACACCCTGTTATTCACAAGAAAAGCTTTGAACAATATGGATAATTGAATAAACCATGTGTGTGGTTGATACTGGTAGAGCAGAAGTCTGTTTGAAATGGATGACAGGTATTTTGTGGGGTGCATGAGGGCAGCTCAAATGAGCCTAAAACACTGCTCATCTCTGGGCTTTGCCGGTGAGTTTAATGGCAGTAGTAATGATGCCATTGTTGTGTTCAGAATGACTTGAAAGTCTGTTATCGTTTAGTGCGTAATGCCTAGTTTTTAACCATCCATCTCTTTATTGCTGTGTCATCCTGTTATAGACTTGCTGGATGTGGTCTCTCTGATCAACACTGTGAAAGTTTGTCTTCAGCTCTACAATCATCAGACTCCCATCTGCGAGAGCTGGACCTGAGTAACAACGACCTGCAGGATTCAAAAGTGAAGCTGCTCTCTGTTGCACTAAAGAGTTCACACTGTCAAGTGAACATACTGAGGTTTGACTTTCACAGTTACTCATTCACTGTGTTCAAATACAGTAGATGAACTTACTGACTATATTTACATATTCTCCAATAATGTGATTATAGCCAATAATCAGAGTAAGGACATCTTGAGGCTGGAATACATTGCACAACTTTTGCCTAGATTTTTGCCTCGATTTACGGTCGAGGTTTGAATAGCACTTCTACAATAGCCATTCTCACTCCTCACTCACTCGGTGTTTGGTCTGAATACAGACTTATCCTTGTTATTCGCTACCCTGTGGATCAGTGGTTCCCAGTCCTGCTCCTGGAGAACTCCTAACACTGCATATTTTTTATGTCTTATCTGACACACACATTTAAGGTCTTGGTCTAATGTCTTTACTAATGAGCTGTTGAGATGAATAAGGTATGCTAGATTAGAGAGACATCTAAAATGTGTTTTGTTAAGGGTTCTCCAGGACTAGGATTAGGCACCACTACTGTCAATTATGCTCTGGCTTCACATGCTCAGACACTTCCTACTTCCCACTTTGGAAGTTGTAATTACGAGTTTGTTGTGTTCAAGTGCTTTGTTATCAGAAAGTGCAGGGATCATAGTGGATGGGCCACTCATGAGTTCATTCTTGCCTGTTTCTTGGGGAAATCCTATTAAAACCAAATAGTATAGAAGACATTTAGCCATCATCCAACAGGTTTTGAATGTAGCATTCCATTCATTGGTTACTATATAAACATTCACTGTGCTATCTAGATATTCAGCTGGCTGATGATTCCTAAATTTTGGTCAAATGAATGCTATTTTTGCTGTGTTAAATACATGGAATATGCATCAAACGGTTATTTATATACATAACTGTACATGACTGTAACTTCAGGAGAAAGCAATGTAGATGTGGGAAAAATTAATAAAACTTTATAGTACTACAGCTACTCTTACAGTACTACTAGTTTCTCTCCTCCGCCATGTTTAAAGTTTATGGCCCACCCAACTTGGAAACTTGTGTATTAAAATTATTTCTGAGTTTCCCAGTAGTAAATTCGACAGAAAGGCCGTTCACGTCCAAATTCCAAACTGGGAAACTTTTACTTTTACATTTACTAGTTTTAGTGCCTTTACTGACGCGACTCACATTTAAGTCACATTGCAATGTGTACAAGTTATATTGACCTTGTCTATCCCTTCCAAGACCACATTCAAATGCGGATGGCTCATTTTTTTTATAACTTGGAACATGACTTAGTCGCTACAACAACTACTGCAGTTGGCTCCTGTACATTCCTTTTTGTTTTCATTTGTCATGCATCTCCTATCAATGAGGGGCGTGTTTGTTGTGTTCAGAATGACTTGAAAGTCTGTTATCCTCAGTCGTTTAGTGCTTGATGCCTAGTTTTTTTCTGTAACCATTTTGAAAACCAGCAAGTGTATGATACCTCGCATTTTAAAATCTATTCAGGTTTTAAAAGTTGCGTATTTCAGTCTTTATTAATTAAATTTGTTTGCATGAGCAAACTTCCTCACTTCTGTTTACATGCAATTTACCTTACCCCTATCCCACCTCAATCGCAGCTGAAATGATTTGCTAGACAACATGAACACAATAATATTTTGTACCTAACAATTATTTTGACTTTAGTACACAACTGTTTAAGACACCTAATATAGAGTGTGACCCAGTTTAATAACAGCATTGCTATAATGCTTTCATCACAATATAATGGTAATATGAATGTAATGAGGAATGTAAATGTAGCCATTGTCAATGAATCTCTTGTAACACATCTGTGGCAGACAAACACAAACGATGTTCTGTGTGTGACAGGTTTGGTTTACAGTTGTAAATGGCTGCAGCTAGTACTCACTGTGGTATTTGTGACCCAAACAATTAATGTTAAAACAGATCTGTGGGAGAAGGGAAGAGGGAGAATCTAACTTTGGTTCAGACCAAACAATCAAACCAAGAGTGAAAACAGCCTATTCTGTTCACATCTTATATGCTGGCATTAAATTTTATCTCTGCCCTTGGTCAACAACTTGTAATTTTCACTTGTGTGATTAGATAACATTTACAGACCATTGTATGAATTTAAAGAATGCCTCTATGGCCACATTTACACTGTAAATAGATTCTGTTGTATCACTGATATCTGACCAAGTTCAAATCTCGTTATGTGTGAAAACGGCACAAAACACTTTTCCATGTGTAATATATATATATATATATATATATATAATTACTAATATTTTAAAGTGATTTTATGGTAGAAGATTATTGTAAATGTTAAATTGTAAAGTTGTTATATTGTAAACGTCGCTGTGACAGAAATTAATTGCTTCCTCATTTTTTTCTGTTTAGATTGGTCAGCTGTAATCTCACTGGTCAGTGCTGTGAAAGTTTGTCTTCAGCTCTACAATCATCAAAAGCCCATCTGAGAGAGCTGGACCTCAGTAACAATGACTTGCTGGATTCAGGAGTGAAGCTGCTGTCTGCTGGACTGACAAGTTCAAACTGTCAGCTGAACATACTGAGGTATTTAGGAACACAGATAAAGATTTATTTATTATATATTTGGACTTACACACCAAACATGAATTTTCACATGAATGTTCATTGCAAGCAAGATTTTGAATAGAAATAATCACAACGATAATCATAAATTAACTACAAGTTATGAAGCGAACACTTTAAAGCGCATTTTCGTACATTCCAGTCAGCTTTGCCTTGCCAATGGGTTACATTTAAAATCAAAGAAAAACAATGTAGTTAAAAGAATTCATATTCACAGAAAGGAGCAAATGTATTATTAACTTATGTGCATTTGTTAGAACAAATAGTAAATGTAAATGTCGAGCCTGTGCTTATGTTTACTCTATGCTACACAGTAATACACCATAATTTAGATTTTTACACATTTAACAGATGTGCAGTATCATATGAAACATATGATATATAACTTTAAAATAAACAAAGGGTGGTCTAACTTTGCATCGGAGCAATAAAAGTTGTAGTCTGTTCAATGTGCCTACATGGGTTTATATGCTGAATATCAGTTAATATTCTTGGTAACACTTTAGAATAGGGAATACATATTCAGTATTGATAGTTAGTAAGGTAGTTGTTAAGTTTAGGTATGGGGTGGATTAAGGGCAATGTTCCCTCTAAGCTGTGCGCGTGCACGGCCGCGCACTTCATTTGTCGCGACCACGCAGAAGAAATTACATGCTGCGCACAGGACAGACACAAAAATAAGTTGGGAAAGCCATGTGATTGAAGTCTTAAGTTAAGTGCGAAATAATTGCAATGCTCGGACAAACCACTATAGAGTTGGTGTTGCTATAGAGTTAGACGCACATCATTCTCTTTCTATAAAACCTGTAAACCGCATTCACCGGTTCTAATGAGTCGCTCTAGAAATCGAATACTGCAATGTTTGCGGAAGAAATAGCTCAACACGAGAGCCAACGCTAATGTAATGACATGTGGAATTCACATGTTCACGTTTTTTGAAAATATTTATTGAAAATATTAGTTATTTATATTATATATTATAAAGTCTAAAGAGCCTGTCTATAGCCGGACATACTGTTTTTCCACGCAATTCTAAACCACTTGATTAAGTGGTGGAAATAGCAGATGATGGGCACAGAATGGCAACAAAACTCTGAGACATTTACAGTAGTGTGCAAATTCTACTACATGGGGATGTTTAGATAACTAAAAGGCATGTCAATCGGACACAGTTCATGCGAGCTCACTTCTAACAAGATGATGATCTGAATCAGGTGTGTTAACTAAGAGAGACGTGCAAAACATGCAGAGCGGGGGTGCGCGAGGACTGAGAACCGCTGGTCTAGAACAATTCTTACAAGTACAACACGACGTAGCTGGGCGCCGCGGACAGACACCGAACGGCGCCGCTGGTGTGCCTACACGCATAGAAAATAATGTATTCGAATTTTAAAGCCGTGGCGCGACGCTGTGCTTCTCGTCCGGTGTGCGACCGCCTGAAACGCTGTTTTTGTTATTTCACTTCCGAAAGCGGATGATGTCGGGAAACAGTGGTTGCAATTTACTTTTTAACACTGTTCCTGAGCATTATAACCCCAATTTGCTATTGTGTGCTGCGCATTTTACTGAGGACAGCTTCCACAACACGAGTGAGAAGTGCCGGATTCGCCAAAAGCTTTTGTTGAAAGACGGAGCAAGGGGCGTGGCAGCACTGAAACACCGTCTAAGCTGTTCGCCAATCACAACGCACTGGGACAGCTAACCAATCACAACACATTTTGTTTTTCGGAAGGCGGACCTTCATCAAAGCCGGAACTACTCGAGACGTTTGTGCCAGCCTGGGGAGAAAGGTATTTTAATAATGTAAATTATGTGAAAAATAATGCGTTTTTCGAACCACCAAGCATGAGAGCATGTTCTAGTACACCCCCAAAACAAAATCAAGACTTTGTAAAAGAGCATAATAGGACCCCTTTAACATCAAAAAGGGAATTCACGAACAATAACTGCTTTATTTTTTCATATTAGCTATTAAATTATTATTAAGAATTGAACTCTTCGTGAGATTTTTAGAATTTAAATAGAATTTCTTGGTAAGTAACACAGCACTGTAAAAATGTTTTCTCAGGTAACCTAAAATGTGCATCATTAAGTACATCAAGGGTCAAATCAAATATATACCGTTAAAAGTTACACACTTTTGTGTGTGTGCTGGACAGGTCTAGTATAAAGAATATTTTTGCTCAGGTGGCTGAAATGTCCGCCCAATTGGGAAATGTTTTGCTCAGCAAGAAAAAAAAATAGAGGGAACATTGATTAAGGGATCTAAATGTGCATGCAGAATAAAACATTAATATGTGCTTCATAAGTACTAATAAACAGCCAATATGTTAGTAATATGCATGCTAATAGTCAACTAGTTAATAGTGAGAATTAGTCCTTAAAATAAAGTGCTACCATATTCTTACATTTAATTTTAGTAAAACGTGAGCACTAGTGATGTGCGGATGAGCTAAAATGTCACCCGAATCCGCAGCTTCAAATAAATTATCCACCCGCCAACCGCCCGCACCTGTATTTTTGTCTGATTTAGATAACCGCACCCGACCCGCACCCGATCATCACATTAGGGTTCGTTCGGTCATGAAAAACCTGGAAAAGTCATTGAACAGCAATTTCCAGGTCTAGAAAGTTTGGTAAAAATAAATAAACTCAAAGTTTTTTGAAAAGTCATGAAAATCTATTTCACAATTCTCTGTATAATAGAATTATGTTTAATCAGATCCATACATTGCATTACTCATTCCCGCAGCTTTCAACTTTAAAATGAGGGAAATTACTGCAAAACCTTTATTCAATATAGCGTGTAGGTTAGATGAGTAAATCAATCCACACAAACCATCAGATGAAAACAGATTAAGTGATTCAGCTGTACCGCGTCTTCTCTCTTTGACTTTCGCTTCACATCGACGCATCTAGAGCTGCTGCACGCTGAGATAGAAGACTTTAGCTCGCGTTTCGGGACAGTTGACAGATTTGTCAATTGCCTGATCGGCCATGGTTGCATCGTAACAAAAATGTATTATTTTCACGTCTTTTTAAGCCATTCGGTACTCGCGCTCTCCAGAGGCGCGTGCGCTCACAGTCACATCCAAAGCACACGCTGCGAGTACCAAATTGAGAAAGTACAGTCGGTTTTGTCTTAAGTTAATGTAAACCGTTGCAAAATAAAACGCATGAGTATCAGTATTGGATCCGTGAAATAGGTCTTGTGATAGCAGCCTAATAAAGCTGTGCCGTCTTTTATTAATGTTAATCAAACAACAAAACTTACTGCTCTTGACTAATGTTTTGTTGAATAACTTTTAATGTTAATTTACAGTTTATTCAATTTCTGTAGCCTATTTAAAACATGTTCATAGTTTAGAAAATGTAGTTAATACTTGCATAATTAACTATTTATTTTATCCACCCGCGACTGTTCAAATGCCGACGAGTGCTTGCGGTGTTCGGCCAATCACAATGCACTGGGTCAGCTGGCCAATCAGAGCAGACTGCACTTGTCGGAAGGAGGGACTTTGTAGAAAACGAAGCGTTTAAGAGAGGCGGGCCATAGAGGACCTACAATAATGTACAGTATTTGAAAAATAATGTGTTTTCTGAACATTAAAGCATGTCAACATATTCTGTTACACCAAATACACAAAATAATGATCTTTAAAAAAGCATCATATGACCCCTTTAAATATTTTTAATGCGTTAAACTGTGAAAATTAATCGCCTGCGTGAACGCGCTAATTTTGACACCACTAATTTAAACACAAAGGAATAATTTAATAAAAAAGTGATCATTTCTTAATTCATGTACATTATAATTTTCGCCATGTCATGAGCAGGGATCTGTATACGGGAAATAGATGTGTCAAAAAAAAAAGATCAATAAAGAATAAGTACGTGACCTGCTGAATGCATCAGCGAATTATTAAATGTATGTTTCAGATCTTTCATTTGTGATATTAATGTGACAATGGTGCAAAAATATGTGTTAGAACTAGGCCTACATCACTCATAATCTTCCTAATAACAATAATCTACCTTTTCTATCATTTTATATTTTTATGGCATAATGGACACCTCTTTAAATGTAATACATTTTAAAAGAGCTGATCTAAAATACTGACTGGTACTGTAGAGTAAAAAATAAGCACACTTCAAGCACTACCGTCACTGTAATATTTCACCGTAAAAGTTGTCACATGGCTTGAACATGAAACATTTATATGATGAATAATTCAAGATTAAATGGTACAATGCTTATTATTGTAATTTTATCAACGATTTATTTCATTATTTTTATCTTTATATTTTTTGTCTTATTTTTATTTTCAAGTGAAAATGTCACAATTCCAGCTTTATTGAGCAATGCTTTCAACCGATCGTTTGCGCCACCTGGTGGTGATTTCACAAACCAGTTTCACATGTGACTTGGTTTTTTTTAACACCGTGGCCTTGCGGCAGCGGTAATTGGCATTTTGGTTGACTACCTACTGTGTATAAATGTGAATGTGCAGCAAGCTTGAAAGCATTTACTGTCTCTGTACTCTACTTATTTGAACACAACCCTAAAGTTTATTTTAAATAGAACATATACATGCAACAAACACAGTGATCTATGTAAATATCCTGTGATTAGCAATTTGCTTAAAATATTTCTGAAATATAAGTATGCCGGATACATACAATTACTAAACACACGGGATACACAGATTCACTATTACACACAGAATAGGGCCTCGCTAGTGACATTTACTCTCCACTTTTATGCCACGGGGGCACGATCAGATTGGAGAGCTGGTCAATGATGTCACAGGAACACGGGCATAAGGTGTACAACGTGGGCCAATGGGATGTAACTAGGAAAGTGAAAATAAAAAATAAGAAACACTCGGGGAAAGAAAAAAAAGGAAATACACTGAACAAAATTATAAACGCAACACTTTTGTTTTTGCCCCCATTTTTCATATGAGCTGAACTCAAAGATCTAAGACTTTTTCTATGTACACAAAAGGCCTATTTCTCTCAAATATTGTTCACAAATCTGTCTAAATCTGTGTTAGTGAGCACTTCTCCTTTGCCGAGATAATCCATCCACCTCACAGGTGTGGCATATCAAGATGCTGATTAGACAGCATGATTATTGCACAGGTGTGCCTTAGGCTGGCCACAATAAAAGGCCACTCTAAAATGTGCAGTTTTACTGTATTGGGGGGTCCGAAAACCAGTCAGTATCTGGTGTGACCACCATTTGCCTCACGCAGTGCAACACATCTCCTTCGCATAGAGCTGATCAGGTTGTTGATTGTGGCCTGTGGAATGTTGGTCCACTCCTCTTCAATGGCTGTGCGAAGTTGCTGGATATTGGCAAGAACTGGAACACGCTGTCGTATACGCCGATCCAGAGCATCCCAAACATGCTCAATGGGTGACATGTCCAGTGAGTATGCTGGCCATGCAAGAACTGGGATGTTTTCAGCTTCCAGGAATTGTGTACAGATCCTTGCAACATGGGGCCGTGCATTATCATGCTGCAACATGAGGTGATGGTCGTGGATGAATGGCACAACAATGGGCCTCAGGATCTCGTCAAATTATCTCTGTGCATTCAAAATGCCATCAATAAAATGCACCTGTGTTCGTTGTCCATAACAAATGCCTGCCCATACCATAACCCCACCGCCACCATGGGCCACTCGATCCACAACGTTGACATCAGCAAACCGCTCACCCACACGACGCCATACACGCTGTCTGCCATCTGCCCTGTACAGTGAAAACCAGGATTCATCCATGAAGAGAACATCTCTCTAAAGTGCCAGACGCCATCGAAGTTGTGAACAATATTTGAGAGAAATGTGTACCTTTTGTGTACATAGAAAAAGTCTTAGATCTTTGAGTTCAGCTCATGAAAAATGGGGGCAAAAACAAAAGTGTTGCGTTTATAATTTTGTTCTGTATATATTAACACAACGTAACATACAGATATACAAATATTTTAAATACTTTTGATTGTCAAACTAATGTGATGTGGACTGTTGTTGTGTGTTTGTAGATTGTCTGGCTGTATGGTGACAGAGAAAGGCTGTGGTTATGTGTCTTCAGCGCTGAGTTCAAACCCCTCACACTTGAGAGAGCTGGATCTGAGCTACAATCGCCCAGGAGATTCAGGAGTCAAACTGCTCTCTGAAAAACTGGAGGATCCACACTGCACACTGGACAAACTCAAGTATGTTGACCAGGAAGAGTTACACTGCTGTGTTTACTTATATCTGATGTGCAGAATGTGAACACTGTGTGTGTGTGTTTTATAGTGTGGATCATGGAGGAGAGTTCAGGATTACAGCAGGTCTACACAAATGTACGTCTGCAGATGTACTCCTTTAGTGACTGCTGTTGTGGTGTGTTCTAAATGTTCTCTCTTTTTGTGTTCAGATGGCCGTTTTCTCACACTGGATCCAAACACAGCAAACACTTGTCTCATTCTGTCTGAGGGGAACAGAAAGGTGACACGTGTGGATGAGGAACAGTCATTTATCGATCATCCAGAAAGATTTGATATATGCCATCAGGTTCTTTCTAGAGAGAGTCTGTCTGGACGCTGTTACTGGGAGGCTGAATGGAGGGGACATTCTGTTATATCAGTGACATATAAAGGAATCAGCAGGAAAGGACAGAGTCATGACTGTTGGTTTGGACGAAATAAAAACTCCTGGAGTCTGATCTGCTCTGATAATAGATTCATTGCCCGTCACAATAATAATTCAACTGACATACATGTCCCCTTACGTTCCTCTAAGATAGTCGGTGTATATTTGGATTGGTTGGCTGGCAGTTTGTCCTTCTACAGCGTCTCTAACACACACACGCTCACGCATTTACACACATTCACCTCCACATTCACTGAATCTCTGTATGCTGGATTTGGGGTTTATGGTTTCTCAGTGTGTTTGCGTAAGATTGAAAAGCCTGTGACCAACAACCGAGGTGTCACATACACATGTAAATGAAAAACTCTCACGTGTCTGCGGGAGGTGCTAGAACAAACCTCATTGGTTCTCGTGTGCCACGTACAGACACAAACACTTCAGTGTTTTAATCAATGTTTATTATGGCTAAATTAATTCTCTCCATCCTAAAGTGAACATGTCACTTCAGAAGACTTTGATTAAATGGATACATTTTTTTTTACCTTTTTGGATCTTGAAAGTTTTGTTTATCTGGACTGTCAGTAAAGGGACAGAAATCTCAGGTTTCATTAAAAAATATCCCAATTTGCTTTTCATGATAAAAGTTCTTTGGAACAACATGGATTTTAGGGTAGAAAATGCATAAAAGTGTGATGTTAAATAATACATGTACTTTAAAGGGGTCATGACATGATTTTGAGGTGTAAGTATAATATTACTCAAGTTTTTTTGACAAAAATCATTAAAATTGAGTGATTTATTACCTTTTTCCACCTCGTTTCTCATCCTCTGACAGAAACAGTGGGTTTTGGGGTGTTTTCTCTTTAAGAGGTCAGTGTAACCACCTAATTTTATGAATGGCTAACATCCGTTATTAACTGCCGTTACCGTTTTAAAAATAGTTTTTACATTAAATATATTACTTACAGTTTGCGGCATCAATGTTGGGTCCAGAACAGTTGGCACGCCCTGATCTTTTAGCAAAACTATTTTGGCAAAGCCAGCATCATACTGCGATTTGGTGAAAGGTACTAAACACACTCGTAAATTAGCAGACGTGACTGGGACGTTCACTAAGAATAAACTGAATCCATTTTTCTCTGACATTGGAATTCTTTGGCAGTGTATACAAACATGTTGTTTTTCCACAGCCAAGGGGCCGTTCTTCGTACGTGGCTAACTCAGTTAACTGAATTTGATTGTTGACAATTTGGCATGATCTTGGATTGTTTGGTTCTTCGAAGCTCATCATGGAGTTGCTGTCATAGCAACAGGTCCGTGAGCTCGGGAGCAGCTTATTTAATGTAAACAGGATTAGATTGCATCTTTTTAAGAAGAATTTGTACTTAAAATCTGTCCTTTAATTAATGCTGTCACGTAACAAATCTGTTCAAATATAAAATTAAATGAATTACTAATTACTACATTGAAATAAAAATGTAAAGCCTGTACAAATATTAGAAATTGTGAATATAAATAATTGGGAATCATGTAAAAAAATTAAATAAAATGAAAACAGTGCACATTTTTTATCTATTATAACATTTATATAGTTTTGTTCGCTTGGCTGTTTCCTTATAAAAGTCCAGAAATTTGTCAAGTTTTTCATCAGGTGTCATTACGTTGCTGTCTTCTCCTGGAGTCTGATCTGCTCTGATAATAGATTCATTGCCCGTCACAATAATAATTCAACTGACATACATGTCCCCTTACATTCCTCTAAGATAGTCGGTGTATATTTGGATTGGTTGGCTGGCAGTTTGTCCTTCTACAGCGTCTCTAACACACACACGCTCACGCATTTACACACATTCACCTCCACATTCACTGAATCTCTGTATGCTGGATTTGGGGTTTATGGTTTCTCAGTGTGTTTGCGTAAGATTGAAAAGCCTGTGACCAACAACCAAGGTGTCACATACACATGTAAATGAAAAACTCTCACATGTCTGCGGGAGGTGCTAGAACAAACCTCATTGGTTCTCGTGTGCCACGTACAGACACAAACACTTCAGTGTTTTAATCAATGTTTATTATGGCTAAATTAATTCTCTCCATCCTAAAGTGAACATGTCACTTCAGAAGACTTTGATTAAATGGATACATTTTTTTTTACCTTTTTGGATCTTGAAAGTTTTGTTTATCTGGACTGTCAGTAAAGGGACAGAAATCTCAGGTTTCATTAAAAAATATCCCAATTTGCTTTTCATGATAAAAGTTCTTTGGAACAACATGGATTTTAGGGTAGAAAATGCATAAAAGTGTGATGTTAAATAATACATGTACTTTAAAGGGGTCATGACATGATTTTGAGGTGTAAGTATAATATTACTCAAGTTTTTTTGACAAAAATCATTAAAATTGAGTGATTTATTACCTTTTTCCACCTCGTTTCTCATCCTCTGACAGAAACAGTGGGTTTTGGGGTGTTTTCTCTTTAAGAGGTCAGTGTAACCACCTAATTTTATGAATGGCTAACATCCGTTATTAACTGCCGTTACAAATAGTTTAATAGTTTTTACATTAAATATATTACTTACAGTTTGCGGCATCAATGTTGGGTCCAGAACAGTTGGCACGTTTTAGCAAATTAGCAAAACTATTTTGGCAAAGCCAGCATCATACTGCGATTTGGTGAAAGGTACTAAACACACTCGTAAATTAGCAGACGTGACTGGGACGTTCACTAAGAATAAACTGAATCCATTTTTCTCTGACATTGGAATTCTTTGGCAGTGTATACAAACATGTTGTTTTTCCACAGCCAAGGGGCCGTTCTTCGTACGTGGCTAACTCAGTTAACTGAATTTGATTGTTGACAATTTGGCATGATCTTGGATTGTTTGGTTCTTCGAAGCTCATCATGGAGTTGCTGTCATAGCAACAGGTCCGTGAGCTCGGGAGCAGCTTATTTAATGTAAACAGGATTAGATTGCATCTTTTTAAGAAGAATTTGTACTTAAAATCTGTCCTTTAATTAATGCTGTCACGTAACAAATCTGTTCAAATATAAAATTAAATGAATTACTAATTACTACATTGAAATAAAAATGTAAAGCCTGTACAAATATTAGAAATTGTGAATATAAATAATTGGGAATCATGTAAAAAAATTAAATAAAATGAAAACAGTGCACATTTTTTATCTATTATAACATTTATATAGTTTTGTTCGCTTGGCTGTTTCCTTATAAAAGTCCAGAAATTTGTCAAGTTTTTCGTCAGGTGTCATTACGTTGCTGTCTTGCCGTCAGCCAATCGCTACATTGCTGATCGTGGTTTCGAGTATCGATACATAGCCCCTTTTAAACCAACCCATGAATGCGCAATTATCTCAGATAACTCAATCCAGCCAGACTAATCATCAACAACAGGTGCTTTCGAAGAACCGAATTAGCCAGATCCTGATTAGCGCGATGATATCATCTCGGATGTGACATTTCATCTCGGATGTAATAAGCGACGTACGAAGAACGGGCCCCAGGAACGGTACATCATCTGCCTGGAATCCCAATCTAATTGTAAACAACCACTCCTTCAGACCCACTCGCTGCACATCAACTGAACACCTGTGGGCGTGACAACGATGCGATGATGCAAAAATAGGCGTAGTTGTCTTGCTCTGGACGAGGTCATATGCAAACGACTGTACCTAGGTGATGTCTCCTTGTCCCTCTGATCCAAAACGAGCCATTTTCTGAGGGTTATTACATAAAATGTCCTCATCATCAATAAAAAAGCATTTAAGTTATGAAACTTGCATGTATTAAGCATACAAAGACCTCTTCTGTGTCAAAAATTTGGTTTCTCATGTCATGACCCCTTTAAATACATGTTCACAGGTAATAGGTAAGAAACCTTTCAATCAGTCTATAATTGTCTGTGTTTTTTAGGAGGGAAGTGGCTATTGCCATCCCATCCTGAGAGCTTTTACTCCTGTGGCTGATGAAGAAAACTCTACATGCTCCACATTCAAGATGCATTCTGCAAATTATAAATGAATGAATGAACAGACAGACGAGGCGATTTTGTTTAAGTTAAGGATACTTAGGTGTTTCGTGTGATCAATGATAATTGTGTTTTATAATAGTTATAAACTTGTGATCTTTTTAAACATGGTCTGCTCATCAATGCTGGAGAATTGGTAGATGTGTATCTTTTTATATGTATACAGTATACATAAGGATCATGTTTTGTCAACATTATATAAACTGTATTATATACACTTTGATTTACTCCTGTTTTACTTTTCTTTTTTGTTCAGTAATTACTCTTATTCTTTTGTTATACAGCACTTTGTTTGGGCTGTGGCCATTTTTAAATATGCTTTAGAAATTTTAAAATCAAGTTCAAGTTCGGTTTCTAAGTTACTTCTGAGACAAAGGCCCCACGGGAGTTGCTGTCTCTTTGCCGTGTATGTGGTAGTGTGCCACATATCCATCTGTCTCATGAATGATCTGTATGAATTAGGGAAAAAAACTCTGAAGTTTATACTTCTGGCATACTCTTTTCAACATACTATGCTTTGGGACACACTTATTTTAATCTCACATATTATTTAGGATGGATAGTATGAACATTGGGACGCAGGGCAGTTCTCTATTATAGATCAGTGCTATCGCATGCGCACGAGGGGAAACCCCAAAGGTGTTCCACTAATAACGCTCCCTCCCCGTAACAAACACCCAAAGAAAAGTTCTGCTACTTTTAACGTTATATTCTCATAAATCATGAACAATAATAAGAACCGAATAACTTAAGTAATTTGTGGATTAGTGCGTGCTGGAGCAGCGAACAGTTTCAAACGTGAGCCTACTCTACACTGCTTAAAACTCATGTTTGAATCATTATTGGCAAATTATTTAAATATAAAAAACGTAATTACAGGCTGTGAGTCAGAAGCGCCAGACTGTCCTTGCAAAGTTGGAACTGCCCAACTTTATAGAAACAGCCTTTGTGCCACAGACGCATTAGGCTACTGGTTCAGGAAACAGTCCTCATCCTCCATAAAATGCGCAGCACACATCTGAATATTTGGGTTGAACTGTTCTGGAACAGTGTTGTAAATACAACTTAACCACTGATTTGTAGTTGTGTCCTCTTTTGAAAGACCAAACAAAGTAGTTTCGCTTTCACAACGAAACACACAGTGACTCCACAACATGGCAGCGGCGAGAATAAAAGTTTACGCCTTCTTTGTTTGCATGATCATTTGGGCGGCGTTATGCAAATCTTCCCACATCGTGACATAGACATGTGGGGGCGTGTTAGAACGAGCTGTTTTAGGTAGGCGTGGCTGACTCTTAACTTTTATAAAGAATAACTCTTTGGATTTG